TATGTTGTCCCAAAAGAAGGGTTCTTTCACGCGGAGTGCATACCTCCAACACTTACACAACTAAATAATTGCAGATCTACCTGCTGAAAGTATCAGAGTTGAGGCTGGCTAGCTTTGCTTATCACGCCCCCGAACGGAGGCGGCAGCCTTTCACTGCTGCGCAGCACCAGGCCTTGAGTTCATACTATGTGGCTCTTCGCAGTTATTTCTCCAGTTCTCTTTAGCTGCCTAAGATTTCACATGAGAACAAATTACATGTAAATCTTGTTCTTCTCCTTTTTTAAGCTCATGTATTAAAGACTAGAAGTATATTTACTAGTAGTATTTACTAGTACTTCTAGTCTTTAATGAAAGATAAGATCAGACAACAACAGATGACTGCAAAAGCTTGATGTATATATTAATCCAGTGCCTCTAGCGTATAAAACCTAGCACATAAAGCTAGCACGTAATCCAGTGTCTTTAGCACTTAAAACCATTTATACTAGCAGGAGCTATTATAACATGTAGGTCATTGAATTTTACACCCTCCTAGTCAGAATTCAAGCTGTTTAGAAAACTGGACTTTCTATTACAAGTCCCTTCAGCATCCAATACAAACAAATAAAAAAAAAAACTTGAGCCATTAACCCAGCTTGCACTGGAAACAGAATAACAAATGGTGCAGTTACATAATACAGTCTACACAAAAGTAGTAACTGCAAGGAGGAGAAATCATTGTAACTGAAATTTAAAAAGCAGGTTGACAGTAAAACTGAATTCCAAACAGATGTAAAACTAAATGCTTGAACAGACAGAGAATGCTTGCACTCCAGCAAAACTATTCTTTGGGTCTACTAAGCAACCAATTCGATGGTAAGAAGTAAAATTAATCTTTTCTCTTTGATCACATCAAAGGAGCTAACAGTCTAAAGTCCACAATACTTTCTTACGATGTTTTTGTTCAGAACAGCTGGAAGCTTACATTTTTACATTTATCTACTACTCTCATCAGTGCTAAGAAGGATTTTATAGTCTAACGCGGCACATGTTCTTGCTTCAGTCTTCTAAAAAGCTTTTAACTTTTTTCCTTCTTTCTGTTGAACCTTGTTGTTTAAAGAAACTTGGTAATTTTAAAGCAAAATGCCATTTTTAGGACTACGAAAGCAGATGATTTTTTTTTCCTGTTTCAGTGAAATTTGTTTTACAGATCCACAATTTGGTCTACTAAATTAGGCTTTAGACTTCTGTGAAGAACTACTCATAATTTCTTTCTACATTGCTCACATCAGGGAGGGTAAAAGTAATGACAGCAAGGGTCAAAATGATGAGGCTTTCCAGGGTTCACATGTTTAGAAATATACACAAATACCTGATTCTGAGTTACATTTCTTTTGAGGTTATCAAAGTTTCTAAAAAATTTCTAAGTTTTCTAAGAAAGTTGTCCATTCTATCTTCAGTTTCTATATCGATACCTTATGGGCCCCCAAACGCACAGGGCTCACAGATTTTCACCTTTCTAGCAGCATGCTGAAAGCACATGAAGCAAGGTGAAAGTAGTAAGAACCTCAAGTTTAATATTAGGCACGATAACACTGATGTGTGTTTTACAATTTGTAGCCAGTGCCCTGGCAAACAACAGCTAGACAACCATCCTAGCAAGGTAAATGAAATTCAGGATTTCTGTGCTGGAACTTACACTTGTAGGAAAGGGGGTGACTGGGAGACCTTGGCAGATGAAAGTTCTTTCCCTCCACATGGAGAAGCAGCAAGATGCTTCGTAAGCGAGCAGAGTCCTGGAGAGAGGCCAAGTACAGCCTACCCCAAATTACCAGTTACGGAATGACAATCACCCCACATTTAACACAGCTAGCTGCACATATGTGATAACTGAGAGTTGATACACGGCACCTTTTTCCAGCACTCACTCTTTTCTAGGTCCCGATCTATTCCAAATATTAAGAAGTACACAAGAAGAAGGAGCCAACATTTTGAAAATTTACAAGCAAATATTTTTCTTAAAGCCTTATTAAACCTAATCATGGCTGCCTTTCAATTAAGAGTTTCATTTTTATGGTCTAAAAATAGTTCATAAAATTTAACAATTACACCCAAGAAAATAAAATCTCTCAATGAGGTACTGTAAGAAAGGTTAAGAAGCAGGATTTATAACCTCCCTAAGCAATCTAATTCTTAAGGTCAGGCTGACCCTTCCATGTGAATCAGTGGTAGAGCAAGTAAATACAGATGTCAGAAAGGATGTTTAAGGAAAAAGACTTCTAATTCTGTTTTCTATCTCCCTTCATTATCTTCAAGTACAAGGCATAAAATGTGAGATTTTAAAATTACTCCCGGTATCGGCTCACTGCCTCCAATAAGGAAAATATTCCCTGATATTTAAAAAAATGCTTCAATCTCTTTGAATATGCATGTTAGATCAGCAGAACTTACACTATTTCATCAAGAAAGTAACAAAAAAAATCAAGTAAATCGTATTTAATAGTATTTTTAGTTCTTTCATATTCCTGTTTGTTGGGAAAGGGGCTCAGGTAGTCCTTCACAATGTATGCCTACATCAATTATACTGTGATATACTATATTACATTGTGTTATGCTGTGCATTTCCCCCCATTCACCTATTGAAAATAAAATTTTCCAAAGCTTCTTCATGATTTTGGCGCTTAAGTGCCAAATTTCATTAGAAATCGGCTTTTTTTTCAAAAACGGAGGTTAGATTCATAAATCATCTAGAATACTTCTGAAATTGTATTTAGACTGAACTTGAATTTTCATTTTTGCCTACTATTTATTCAATCCTTTTATTGATTACACAATATTATATTTCAGTAAAAATGTTGTCTATATTTTTAAAGCTCTTACAGTTTTCTCCACTCCAGCAGTTTCTTCTCTAACTGCTCTGGATAGCCCCTACCAAGGACATTTCACAGGTAAGTATATATCTCTCTGCTTCAGAACGTAACAGCTACTGTTCATTTGCAACACCCATTCATTACCTATTTTTATTATAAATACATGTAGATTATTTGTTTTATAACTAATTATATGAAGTTATAACTGATATGGGCCAGCTCAAGACACTTCCGAAAGGGCCAAGAACGTTTACTTTCACGGGACACTGAAACACTTCTGTATTTTTCACGAAGAAAGCAATAATACTGTTCATTTCCCTTACAAGATAGTTAACCAAAAGCCAAGTGTAGAATGCTAAACTGCTCTAGATTTATAACCCAGGATATCACCACCATAAAAACTACAAAATCAGAAATATTTCCAGGTAGCATATTTAATGGTATTGATGGTAGTTAGTTACCAATCTGCAGAAACATCTAAGGCTACAGAAGATAAGGTGCATATTCGAGTACGCTTTCTAATAAAATACCTCTACGCTGTGAACCAATAGCCTTCCGATTGTATTTATTTTTTCCCCACAAAATATCTAGAAGATTAGTGGTGAAAAGACTTCTGGTATACTTTCTCTTATTTTGCTCTGGAATCCAATAGCGTTCACTAACAACACAGTAATCCTTGTTTAACTGTTCAATGAATTTTACCATGGTATTATAAAAACTGGGTTCTTTCAAAGGTATTTTAAAATGCCTTTTTAATGAAATGAAATAGAAATTTCTGGTTTTTCTATACTCAAAAATTATTTTTGTGGAATTGCATAGAACTTTTTCATCCTTTTTTATTTCAGTCTATTTCTAGACCCCCGCAAACACAAACAGTCCTATACCGATCCTAAAGAAGTTTGTCTTGAATAGGAAAAAAAGGCGCTTTTTTTTTTTTTTTTTACTGTGCCAACTAGCATGTTTTAACTATATTCTACAGCTCCATCATCAACCCAAACCATGTGTTTATACATCATTCAACTGAGTTATCTGAATTGATATTGAAGTACTGTTCTGCTTAACTACAGGTCACTGGAGAACAATTCTTCAAAAAAGATACATACTGTGAGTGATAGGACTATTGGAGTATCTTCTGAAATAAAGGAGATTTGCAAAAGTGAGTTTTACCCAGAAGGAATGACTGGAAAGGAAGTGTGTTGAGAAAACAGCAATAGAAAAGTGATACAATAGAGCTATCAGGAATACACGGGCAAGACATTTCAAGATAAATATCTGAGGGAAAG